TTTAGTCTACAAATATTCCCCTCACCTTAATTTGGATGCAACTTCTTCAATCTTGAGTGTAGGATAATCTGCAGGTTTATTAGGTGCTGGAATCCAGCAATGAACAAGACAGACAATATTTGTTCTCTATGAAGCTTTGCTTCTACAACAGGTGAAAGACAAAACAGAATTGAAAAATAACTAAAATAACCCCAGGTTGCCCAGGCAAAGTGAAGGCGCTCCAAGAAATCACAAAGGAAAAACACTTATTCAATAGAGGAGGTCAAGGGACATTTTCTATGTTATAAAAGCTGAATCCTGAAGAATAGGAGAATTTCTACATAAGGAATTGGGCAGACAGTATTCTAAATAAAGCCAAGAATAACTATAAACAGCTCTAAACAACAACAACAACAAAAAGCAGGGTGGGTTTTACATCGAACAGTTTTCTGAAGAGGTAGGGGTGATATGCAATGTAAGCAGGAAAGGTAACCTGGGATCAGACCACACAGGACCCTGGAGGTCTTGAAGAAGGATTGAGGTCCTGAGAAAACTGGGACGCCAACAAAGGATGTCAACAGGAAAGTTATGGATCTGATTTATAGTTTCAAAAGCTCACTCCTGCCCTCCAGGTGATCTTGTAAAATGTTGCAACCACTATGGAAAACACTGGAGAGGTTCATCAAAAAAATAAAAATAGAACTACCACAGATGCAGCTGTCTCTTCTGGGTGTATATCTGAAAGAACTGAAAGCCAGATCTCAGGAAGATATTTGCACCCATGTTTATAGCTGCATTATTCACAATAGCAGAAGGGTGGCTGGAACCCAAAGTCCACCGCCAAATGAATGGATAAACATAATGCAGTATATATGTACAGTGCAATACCAGCTAGCCTTAAAAAGAGAAATTTCTGTCATATGATCCAAACCTTGAGGGTATTAAAATAAAGAAGCCAGTCATAAAAAGACAAACACTGAATGATTCCACGTATATGAGGTATTTAGTGTCATCAAATTCACAGAAGGAGAAAGGAGGCCTGGTGAGTGCCAAGGGCAAGGAGAAAGGGACAGGAGGACTGTTGTCTAACATATTGCTTCAGTTTTTGAGATGAAAACTTCTGGAGATCTGTTATATGATAATGTAAATGTCCTGAACACTACTGAACTGTACACTTAAAAATAGTTAAGATGGTAAGTGGCGCGTTGCGTGTTTTTTACTATAGCCCTCTGGCAGCTGGTGGAGAATGAGCTAGAAGCGGGAGCGGGGAGCCGCGGGGGTGGGGGGCCAGCTCTCAGCACCCAGGCTGGCGCTTGGGATAGGCATGCACCAGAGTGTGCAGGTCAGCGAGCTCTTTCTACAACAAGAACACATCCGAGGTCCACAGCTCCAAGTTTTCACCCACAAAACCATTCCAAATGTCCATGTATCTCATTCCTTCAACATTACAACATCTTCTGTCCGAAGAGATCGGATGTAATAAAATATAAGAAACTCTCCAACAGATGATGATGAAATTGGCTCTCACTAGGGCCCGTCTGCCTTGGAGGAAAGAGGAAGAAGTCAGGTCACAGGTGGGCTCTAAGTAACTGGACGTAATCTGCCTGAAGTATTAGATACTCTGTGTCTGTCTCCCACCAGAGATGGACTGTTCATCGTTTCTAATAAACCTGAGCATTGGCCTAACAGCAAGTTAGATATTCTTCTTCCTGACTCATCTTTATGATCTGGATCACAGCAGCGATCCTAAATGGCTAAAGCACGTAAGGGCAGAGAGGAGAGCCCAACTCCTCAGCTTATACATTCTTCAGTCCAGTTCAGTTCAGTTCAGTCCTCAGTCGTGTCCGACTCTTTGCGACCCCATGGACTGCAGCACGCCAGCCCTCCCTGTCCATCACCAACTCCTGGAATTTACTCAAACTCATGTCCATCGAG